CATGGAGGATACCTAAACCACCTTTCATCCCCTACTCTATATAGAATGTTTAGTCCGTGCCCGCAATCCCGTGAGATCCATTTCAAAGTTTAATGACCATTTGGGGGCATAAATCTACAGTGTTTCTTTTTGAGTAGCAAAGATCTCTGGAGCCACTGACTTCCGTTCTACCTGTTTAGAAGATAATATGAAGATTCTGACGACTCAGCTTTATTTTTTTTTAATTTTTTTTATTGGAGTATAATTGTTTTACAATGTTGTGTTCGTTTCTGCTGTACAATGAAGTGAATCAGCTATATGCATACATACATCCCCTCCTTCTTGGAACTCAGCTTTATTTTTTAAAGAAGCCCACAGGAATAGAGAAGGTACCACTCCCTTCTGCTGGCTAAAATACCAAGAAAACTAAATGAGATCTTATTCTTGTGCCCAAGATGACTCTTCATCTATTGACAGAGAGGTGACAATCAGTATTAGGTCTGCAGCCTGGTTCCAACCATGAGCAAAAAGCTGACAGTGCATCCTACACATATTTTGTGTTTGCATCTTGCCTCTAAAGAATCCAAAGCACTTCCACCTACTTCTGTGTGTACTGTCATGGAGGAAGGCAGTTATCCACTCTACTTCATGAATAACTCTTCTGCGGCCAAAGGAATATGTGATGTGTTCAAGGTAGAGCACTTAAGTAAAAGCAGAATTCTAGCAATTAATTAAGGTGACGATCCTTGGGTCAGAAAATTGAGCTACACGCTTTGCGTGAAATTGTCTTTGGCATATTCAAGACATCTTAATCTTGTTGGCATTCAGTCTGCAAATAAAGCTGAACCACAGGTAACTCCACTTCTGTATCCTTTTCCCCACCTTTTATGCCCTGCTTTCTGACATTAAGGATCTCACCTGTTCATATGATTCATCAGAGGAAAAAACGGCATTAATTAACATCAAAATGTTAAGGACTCAACGTATTTTCCCACAGATATCTGGATTACGAAAGAGAAGCCTAGAAGAGGATTGTTTTACACAAAGAAATGGCTGGCTAATGGTGAAATTTTAGGCATCAGTGGGATAGGAAACTTCCTACTATTCCTTTAGATGTATATTCTGCCCAAGCAGAATGTCAAAACCTGTCTATAAGACACAGTATATTAGAATGAAGAAACTGTCAAACATAATATGAATTTAAGCAACCAAACTCTGTTCCAAAGCACCTTAAGAAGGTGATATTGGAGATCTAGAATCATAACATTAAATAAACCTGTAAACCTGGAGACTTCTAGTGTGGCCCAAGATGGAAAAATAAAAACTGTATTTATTTTCCCACCCAAAACATCTAAAAAAACAGACAAAACATATGAAAATAGTTCCCAACACATTGGACATCAGGCAATGAAGGGCAGTGATCCCTGAAAGATGAGAAATGGATGAGCCCTAAGACTGCCCCAGCTTATTGCACTGAGAGAATTTCCAGCCCACAGCACAAGAAGGGGGAACCCGGATGGAGTCTGGCCGTCTCACTGAGTAGAGGAAACTGGGGAGGCCAAGGTGGCTAGAGTCCACAGGGTGGAAACGAGAGAGATGCATAGAGAGAGGACTGTGGAGACGGGCAGAGGACCCCCCTTGAGTATTCAGCTGCGTATTGTTCAGTGCCTGCAAGAGAGGAAACTGCCTGAGGCTGGAGAAAAGACTATCTAAAAGGGTTAGAGGGGATAAGGAGCAGAGAGCTTACAAACGGCTGGGAATAATGCCTGTTCCCATCAGCCAGAGCGAAAAACCTTATAATTCACAGGGTGTGGGATAGACTACTCAGAATGGTCTTAACTTGGTAGTAAGGAAACTTGACCCTAGACTAAACACTGCCTCAGTCCCACCTAACAAAGCTTACTCAAGAAGGAACAGATAACCTGAATAGCCCTATCAAAGAAATTGGATTTGGAGTTTAAGACCTTTCCACAAAGTCAACACCAGGCTCAAAGGCCTTCACTTGGGAATTTTGCCAAACATTTAGAGAAGAAATACTATCAATTCTATACAGACTCTCCCAGAAAATTAAAGAAGAGAAAATACTTTCCAAGATTCTATAAGGCCAGTATTATTCTGATACCAAAACCCAGACAAAGGTATTATAAGAAACAAACAGCAAACCTGTATTCTTTACACAGAGATGCAAGGATTCTCAACAAGATTTTAGCAAATTGATCCAACAATGTAGGCCAATAAAATTATATGCAAATACACAGAAATAATACTAGTCCTGATCATTAGTTTGAGGCACAAATATTTCTCTCTAAAAGCAGTGACTATTTAAGAGCTATCTGTAAGCCATGTGTTCATTTAATAATTATCCCTTGTGGCTATTAAAATAAAGACAGATTACTTGCTGATGGCCAACACTGAGCAAGTCCACAGACTGTGGGTCTGCCTTTTCAGTGTTACTTCTACTGTGAGTTCCCCATGAGCAATAGCTGGGTTTTCCCATCTTTGCGTTTTCAGGGCTAGCAGAATCCCTGGCATATTATCAATCCTTTCTTCCTGTTCCCAGCCTCTTAGCATGGGAGATAATAAATGTCCTTGCTGTTCCTGCCAGTCAAGTTGAAGTTCCCTTACTTGAAGTCAAGGGCATCAGAATGGACACAACCATTGAGCTGAGTCTCAGTTTCCTCAGCTACAGAAGAAGGACAGTACAATCTGCCTTCTCGGGTTTGGAGGGCAGTAAATAAGATAATGCGTTTAGAACTTCTTGCACAAGTTCTGTCTCAGGAAGTGCTAAATAACTGTGAGTCCCCTTCACCTTCGCTTTCCCCTTTCTTTCTTATGGAATTCTCAATCTAAATATTAGAGATACAAAGTTCAACACCCATGAAGCTTATAGACCTGTCACTCTGTTTTGTCAGCTGCTAAATGTGATGCCACCTAGTTTGAGAGAATTCATTTTTACCCTAAGTTTTATTGATTTTCTCTCTTACTTGTGTTACTATTAAACTCACCAAAGGATCTATTGCAGGAAACAATCAAAAGAAGGCCTATGAATGAAAACCTAACTTTGCACTAGGCAAGCAACAAAGAAAATGGCTGAGAAGACTCTTCCTCCCAGGAAAGTGGGGAGGGGAAAAATAAGGGTAAGGGAATAAGAGGTACAAACTATTAGGTATAAAATAAGCTTAAAGGATATACTGTACAACACAGAGAACATAGCCAACATTTTATAACAACTGTAAATAGAGTATAACCTGTTAAAATTATGAAACATTATATTGTACCCCTGTAATTTATATTATATTGTACATCCACTGTACTTCGAAGAAGGAGAAGGAGGAGGAGAAGAAGAAAAAGAAGACGCTTCCAAAAAATAAGCCATTTTGCTGGTAACCCAGCAGCTGCAGCCCATGTTCATTCCATCATGATTTTCAAGATTTTTTTTATTTGGAAAATGTTAAATTTACAGGAAAGTTGTAAGCACAAGGAGTGCTAAGAACACTCATATACTCCTTACCCAGACTCACCTATTGCCAACATTTTGCCCATTTACTTTATCATTGTTTCTCTCTGTCCCAATCTCTCTCTCTCCATCTTTGTGTATATATATATTTTTTCTGAATCATTTGAGGGTAAGTTGATGATGATGCCCAATATAATATTAATTTTAAATTTCATTTTAGGGGCTTCCCTGGTGGCGCAGTGGTTGAGAGTCCGCCTGCCGATGCAGGGGACACGGGTTCGTGCCCCGGTCCATGAGGATCCCACATGCCGCGGAGCGGCTGGGCCCGTGAGCCATGGCCGCTGACCCTGCGCGTCCGGAGCCTGTGCTCCGCAACGGGAGAGGCCGCAACAGTGAGAGGCCCGCGTACCGCACAAAAAAAAAAAAAAATTTTTCATTTTAGAATTTAAACACTTTAACAACAGATACTTGTACGTGATTTGTGCATGGTTCAAAACCCAAAGTGTATAAAAGGGGATAGAGTTGAAAATAGATCTTCCTCCCATCCCTATGCCCTAGACACCCTGTGTCTCAGCATGAGAACTTAAAATTCAGAAAGGAATGTATCTTGATATTCTCTGAATCCATTTTCTTTCCCAATTACATGAAAACCTCCTTATATCCAAAACAATTGAAAAAATTATATTTACCCAAAAGAGAAAATCCAAGCGACCTAATACCTATCAGAACCCCTCAGAAGCCACTGCTCTTTGTGGTGCTACAAAGGTTTGAGACTTTTGGTTTTACTTAGCCATTTATTTATTCAACATTTCTTCGTTCATCTACCAATCCTTTATTGAGTCCTAGGCCCTGTGCTAGTGTGATGCATTGTATTTTCCAAAATTTCCCATCCCACGTGCTCTTCTCACAGTGTGATTCTGCCACTCCTCCCACAGAGAGGTGGATCTATGTTCCCTCCCTGACTTGTGACCACAGCAGAAGTGACATTATTTATTTGACTTCCAAGGCCAGGTCATAAAAGGTAATATAGCTTCTCCCACCAGGCTCTCTTGGGATGCTCATTTTTGGAATCCTGACACCATTGTGTGAGGAAGCCCAAGCTGCCCTGTGAAGAAGCCCACGTGGAAAGGCACTGACAGTTTTCACCAACTCGCCAGCCTTATGAGTGAGCTGCATTGGAAGACTTCCAGTGGAAGTGGCCACTTCAGTGGAACCCCAGTGGAGCCACCCCAGCTGACACTGCATGAGGAGGGATGAGCTGTCTCTGTGGAACCCTGTCCATGGTGTGGACTTGTGAGCAAATTAAATCATTTTTGTTATTTTAACCTATTAAGTTTTAGAGTATTTTTCACAACAGGTAACCAGAATAGCTAGGTACAGAGGATGCAAAGATAGATCTATTAGGTAAGGTACCTGCCTTCAAAGACCTCATACTCTAGTGGAGGAGATGGGCAAGTCAACAAAAATTAATTAAATACAATATGATGAGGACTTTCTATATAAATACCATTCCTATATAACATTTTTTTTCCTATATAACATTTTAAGAAATGGGAGAAATTACCTGAATTTGATGGAGACTCAGAAGGATTTGAAGAAAACAAAAGCTGAGTTAGGTCTTGAAGGATGAGTAGGAGTTCATCAGATAGAGGCAAGAGGTCCCGTCCATCACTGCAGCGCCACAGAACTGTGTAGAGAATGTAAAGAAGGGTGGTAAGGAGGGAAGGGGTAGGATAAAACCTGAGAGAAGAAAGGATTCAAGTTAAGGATGTTGGTTAGAGTGAGAACAGAGACAGACAGGAAGCAGGAAGTGGGGAGGCTGAGAGACAGAGAGAGCAGGAAATATATGAGACCACAGGATAACTGGGGCTGCTGAGCAGGACAGGGTCCTCAGAGAGCCCAGGACCAAGATCTGGGTCTGATTCTGCCTCTGACATATGAGCTATGTGAGCTGTAGGAGCCTGGGAGAACCCCTCTGTCAACAGAGGGGTGGGAACTTAGCAGCTTTAAGGCCCTGTCCAATTTTGTGACATTTAAAGTCACAAGTCAGGGCTTCTCACAATGTGGCCCCATAGAGTCAGGTTGCCTGGGTACCTGCTAACCTATATCATATCAGCTCCCCAGGTTATCCCGATGCCAATTATGTTTACCAAACATTATTGTATGAACTGAATGGAATTGAACTTCTCTTCCTCTTGGTTTCTTTGCATAAAATAGAGAACAAAGAAACGTTTGCATTCTGTGGGCAATACTGTAGAAATGTAACATACAACTGTGTAAGATTTCTTGTAAACACCACACCATTTTACCCAAACTGAAAACTGATGGTTTCTTTTTCCTTTAGATAGGAAAGTAGTATCTCGCTTTCCCTTTTTTCTTAAGGAAGCCTCCCCTCCATGGGAGGGGCCAGTAAAGTGTCCTCCTTGCCATCAGGAGCGGAGGCTACTCTGAGAAGACTTGAAAGCCCCAGGGAGGGAGGCTGGATGGACATGTTGAAGTTTACTCCATAACCCCCTCTGGCTGGACAGCCACTGAACGCATCAGCCTTTTGTTGTGATAAACACGGCAAAAACACCAGCATCTTTCAGAATCTTCTAAATAGTCGGTTGTACAAGAGATGAGGGTGATTGATTTCCTTGGTGGGTACAGGAGCAGAGCCATGGGAGGAATCTTCTGGAAGAGAAAATCGGGGCCTGGACAAGCTTCTTGAAATCAGGCAAGTAGAAGCAGAGCTGAGGCACCACCTGCTTTTCAAATGTTAATGAGTGTTCTTAATCGGATAAGGGTGGCTCTCACCAAGAATTCCGCTCCCACACACCCTAGTTTGAGGCTGAGCTAGACTGGCTTGCTCTTGATTTAACTAAGCCCGGATCTCATCCAAGGGCAGGCCTGGTGTTTTTATCTTTTAAAACATCGGGAGAATTGTTAAATAAGACAAATTTAGGAAATATAAATTCCCCCACGTCCCTTCATCTCAACAAACTCAGAGAAGCACACGTGTGTCTATTTGGCCCAGAAGATTCAGCAGTTAGCTGAAAAGTTATCAGATCCTATAAGAAAAAGAAGGAAAACAGAGAGAGAGAGAGAGAGAATGGAAAAAAGAGCGCACGGAGGGGACATGGGCCAAGTCCAGGCAGTGTAGTCCACGGCGTTTACTTGTGCGGGCTCCTTCGCCTGGTAACGTGAAATGGACCTCAATCCCTGAAGGGAGGAGAAGGAAGCCCCTTGGGGAAGGAAGCACTGTGTCCTGGCCGAGGGCCCCTCCCGCTGCTGCTGCCAGGAGGTCTGCAGACTCACTGCTTGTTCCTGAGGGTCACTGAATTTTGGCAGCCTCCACTGGCCGCATCCTCCCTTCCCACAAATGGTGCCCGCTGCTGCCCGTCCAGCCCCACCCCAAACAAGAGGTTCAGGGAAGCAGCCCCTTTTGTGAGGCACTCCAGGAATTTGTGATTTATAGGAAGGAGACACCCCTAGGTGTGAGAACACAAACCCCAAAGAGACAAGGATCTACAGCATATATTTCAGCTCTTTCTTTTCCCTAATCTGCAGCACTTCTGAGGGGTCTATTAAAACTTCTAAAGGGCAGAGGGTGGGGAGGTGTTGCCTAATCTAGCTTTTTTCTCTCACCCCAACTTTTTTTCAAGGATTCATTTCCATGTCTTCGTGACATAATTGTCCTGAGTTGATTTTTGCAAACCCAAATTCATGTCAATGCCAAGAAAGAAAATTCTTCCAATCTGTAAGACATCAAAAGTAAGGCTGGCTTTACCCCATTAGACAATAGACAGGCTCACGAAGCCACTGCTAGTTCAGGCTCAGGGTGGGGTCACCAGGAGGAGGAACAAGGGGACTCAGGCTTTACTCATCACCTGAGTCCACTACAGGCCTGACAAGCTCCGCCAAAAGATAAACGCCGCAAGGCAAAAGAACTTCGCATAAATATCGCCATGAACACAAAGAACAATGTTCATGATTTTTATGTCCACGGGAGCTCAGGCACAAAGGCATATCGGAAACTTCTTTTTCTTCTACATTATGTAAGGACTGGTCCATGAGACAAGCCTCTGTACCCCCAAGCAAGGGGAACCCCAATCCCCTAACATTGGAGGGCTTACAAGACAGCCAGGGTCGGGCGCCACTTCGGAGAAGGAAAAGCAACCAGATCAGGGGACCGAAAAGAGGAAATACGATCTTTTTTTCAAGGTCCTTCCACGGATTTTAGCATCTAGCGCCTACAAGTACTTGGCGAAGTTTAATAACACAAGCCTTATCATGAAAAAGACAGTCTCCCGCTCCTCTCCCCAACCTGTCCTTTTCAGCCATTTCTTATACTTTCCCCCAGATTTCTGAATAATAAGCTTATACTGCTACTGATTTATCCATTTGGGACGTGACTTATTGGCTTCCTATTATGTTAGAGGACTCTTACATCTACCTCCCTATTTTGCCTCCCCCATTCTCTCAACACAGATAAATAATAATTTTTGGTTAAATCAACAGTTCGTGTTTACATTATTAGATGTTGTTGCCACTGAGGACAGAAATGAACTGAAGTTTGATATCCTCGGTCTTCTGACATTGAGCGTTGCTATTGAGAAGTCCTGGGCCATCGCAACTCCTGTTCCTTTAAATAGAACCTGTTTTTATCCCTCTAGGGTCTTTATCCACAGTTTCTGAAATTTCAAAGTGGTGTAATGTGGTGTGGATCTTTTCAAATTCACAGGGAAATTTCCTGGTATTTTTTTCTTTGCCAATTCTTTCACCCTGTTTTCTTTATTCTCTCTTTCTGGAATTCCTATTGGGTGAAGCTTGGCCTTCCAGGACTAATTCCTTTATTTTTTCTTATCATTTCTTCCTTCCTGGGCATCTTTATCTTTTGGTTCATCTTTCTGGGAGATCTTCCCATTTTATCTGCCAAATCTTCTTTTTTAGCTCTTCTATTTTTAATTTCTGAGAGATTCTCTTTCTTGTGCTTTTATCATTCCTGGATTAAAGCATTCTGCCTCTGATTAATGGGTACGGCACTACTTCTTATCTCCCAAAGAATATTATATATATGTGTTGTGTGTTTGTGAAGTTTTAGTCTGTTCCCCTGCATTGTTTCTGTTTCCTCCTAAATCTTTTCCCTGCTGGAATGTTTTTGGACTCTTTCATCTTGGTGGCTTTCCTCCGAATCAGGTGACTCCTGGATGTGCATCCACACTGAAGTCTAAGATCTAAAAATCTGATTCGTGGGTTTGCTTTGAGGTGTGGGCAGGGCTTGTTGGCTGGTAAATTTCATTGATGGAGACCCGGTGGTGAGCCAGCCTTTTCAGGGTGGGACCCCAAATGGCATTCTCTGCAGGTCTTTTCTCTGCAGCCACTCAGTTCTCTGGGGTCTCTTTTGTAAGAGTACTGTTTCCATTCATGAGGGCTCCACTCTTACAACCCAATCACCTCCCCAAGGCCCCACCTCCAAATACCATCATACTGGGGGTTAGGATTTAACATATGAATTTGGGGGACACAAACTTTCAGTCCATTGCAGGAGGGGACATTCTAGTTCCCTTTGTGTCCTTACCTTATCTTTACTTTAGATGGTCTTTCTTAGATGATCAACTTCTCAGTTTCCAACTTAAAATAGCCTCTACTTCCCAATGCATTTTAAAGTCAATACTCACTCAAAAAAGTGGAATGTTTTCCTGTAGTATTTTGCCTCTTTATAAACTAAGTAAGATTTGACACATATGTTACCTGCCAAACACTGACCCCTGTGAGGGCTTGGGATCGTCTCCACTCTTCTATGGGCCATAGGAAATGACACAATGCCCGGCACACAGCCCACATCACAGCCCTTAGGAGCTACAAAAGATCTTAAATGTATCTGGTCCAATCCCCTTCTTTTACAGATGATCTAAGTAAGCCCAAACAAGATGAAATTATTTACCCAAGACTGCGAGGAAGAGGTCAAGCCAAAACTTGACCTGGACCTTCCAACTCAGAATTAGCGCCCTCCACTCTACCAGGCAGGCCAGAACAGGTGTTCATAAGTATCTCATGTCTACGTCACGACCTAATAATCCATTTCTCCCCAACATAGTCCAACTTTCTCTTATCTTTTTAAATGCTGTTCTTTTAACAATAATGCTTAACATAAACCTAATAGTTAATGACATCAAAAGGAAAGAAAGTTAGGACATAAAATATTGGATGAATAACTACCTACCCAAATATAACACACAATCAAAACTACTCTCCATCAGTCGTTCTATCATGCATTCTCTCATAGAGCACGTCACAGGTCTGCACACTTTATGCCCCTGGATGCCGACTGCTTTGTGTACCTGCAGAGTCTTTACTTTTTTTAACTTGACAAAACTAGCCCCAATTAACCTCTGTGCTGAGTGTTGCCTTCATTAAGGTCACCTGAGTGAGTTTAATTTCGAACACCTGACTGAAGGAGGTTCTGATGGTTTGCCTTCGTGTCTCACCCAAATGGACTTGTCCCACATCACTGTTACTGGCTAGAGCCAGAACTGAACTCGGGTTCAGCTGCTCATCACTGAAAAATCAATGTTCGAGAGCCAAGGGTTGGTGCAAAAAGAAAGGTGCTTTCTTCAGGAAGTCGCCAACCTGGGAAGATGGCAGCCTAGCATTCCAAAACTATCTCCCAGGTATCAGGGGACAAAAGGTTTTAAAGGGGAGTTT